TAAGCTGCTGCTTGCAGCACAGCATCCCATATGGGCACTGGTTCCTGTCCTGGCTGCTCCACTTTCAAAACAGTTCCGTGCTAATGTGTCTGGGAAAGCAACAGATGTTAACTCAAGTACTTGTGTCCCTGCATCCACATAGGAGACCCAGATGGACCTTCTGGCTCCCTGCTCAGGTCTGAGCCAGCCCTGGCCATTGTGGTTATTTGGACAATTAACCAGTAAATGGAAGAATGATCTCTCTTGGGCCTGGTGCTGTTGCCTAGAGGCTAAAGTCCTGTCCTTGAATGCACCGGGATCCCATATGGCCCCAGTTCTAATCCCAGCAGCTCCACTTCCATCTAGCTCCCTGCTTGTGGCCTGAGAAAGCAGTCGAAGATGGCCCAAAACCTTGAGACCCTGCACCCACGTGGGAGACCTGGAGGAGGTTCCTGGCTCCTGGCTTTGGATTGAGCACAGAACCAGCTGTTGCAGCCACTTGTGGAGTGAATCACTGGACAGAAGATCTCCTCGTCCCTGTCTCTCCTCTCTGTATATCTGACTTTGCAATAAAAAAAAAATAAATAAATCTTTAAAAAAAGATCTCTCTCTGTGTAACTTTGTCTTTGAAATAGATATATAACACAGACACAACACACACAACAGTATTAAGTAGATACTTTTGAATGAATGAATGAGTTGTAACTCTTGTGAATTTCAGCCTGGGCATATACATTATTGGGTGATAATGCTCTTTGAAGAATTCTTCGAGTCAAATAAGGTAATGTTTTACTAAATTCCTAGCTTAGTACCTGGTACATAGTCAATGCTTGGCTCGTGCTAACTCCTGCCCTCTTTTGTATATTATTGTTATTACTGTCAAGCTGATAGCTTTAGTAGCGTACTGATTCCCATTTGAGTTAGAAGGAAGGACATACTACTTGTTAGTGGAAAAAAAAATAGTAATTTATATCTTACAGAAAGAGCACTGTAATTATAATGCTGGTCCTAAGCTTATTGAAACATTAAGCTATAATCATCCTCACTAAATAGAGTAGGTACATTTTAGGGAAGTTTGTCAAAAGGCACAGTGTTAAGTGAATCTGGTGTTTCCATTGTAATATTGGAGTTGGACTAGGAAATGTGGCTTTCAAATAAGATCATAATCTGAGGTATTGTCAACCTATATATTCTTGACATTGAAAATTTTTGCATTTAGTACCCCTAGTTCACTGGTTTTTGGCTAGGGGAAAGTAACTTGTATATGTTACTAAAAATATACCAGATTGTTCAATTTCTGGTTAAGAATAGGGTCTTAGCAGGCCCGCCACAATGGCGCAGTGGTTAAGGTCCTCGCCTTGCACGCCCGGGAACCCAAATGGGCTCACTTGGGGAGTGAATCATCAGATGGAAGATCTTCCTCTCTGTCTCTCCTCTCTGTATATCCGCCTTTCCAATAAACAATAATAAAAAATAAATCTTTAAAAAAAAAAGAATAGGGTCTTAGCAACCATTGTTGCCTAATCATTGCTTCTTATCAGGCTTGGCAGCTATTAACAGTGTTGTAAGTATCTTGTGCTTTTTTTCTTTCTTTTTTTTTTTTTTTTTAAGATTTAAAGGTACAGTGGGAGAGGGAAAGAGATCTTCCATCCACTGGTTCACTCCCCAGGGCTGCCAGGGCTGATCCAGACAGAAGCCAGGAGCTGGGCGCTTCATCCGGGTCTGCCTCATGGGTGTTAGGGACCAGGCACTTTTGGCTTTTGCTGCTTTCCCAGGCATGTTATAAGGGAGTTGGAGTGGAAGTAGAGTAGCTTGAACTTGTGCCTATGAGGGATGCCAGCTCCAAGTAATTGGCTCCTAATGAACTTCAACTTGTATTTCCTCGCTCTATGTTATTTATTTTTAAAAAATTAGATATTCAGGGCCCGGCGTTGTGGCCTAGTGGTTAAAGTCCTTGCCTTGAACACGACAGGATCCCTTATGGGCGCCAATTCTAATCCCAGCAGCTCCACTTCCCATCCAACTCCCTGCTTGTGGCCTGGGAAGGCAGTCAAGGATGGCCCAATGCTTTGGGACCCTACACCTGCATGGGAGACCCAGAGGAAGTTTCCTGGCTCTTGGCTTCAGATTGGCACAGCACTGGCTGTTGCGGTCACTTGGGGAGTGAATCATCAGACAAAAGATCTTCCTCTCTATCCTCCTCTCTGTATCTTTAGAAGAAAAAAAAATTAGATATTAATGATTTATTTATCTGAAGGAGAGACACAGAGAGCTTCCATCTCCTAGTTCACTCTCCAAATGCCTACAGCAGCCAGAACTGGGCTAGACCTAAGGCAGGGCCCTGAAATTCCATCCTGGGTGACCACGTGCTGCTTCCTAGGGTACAGACTCGCCAGAAGCTGGATTGGGAAGCAGAGGAGCCAGTCCTGAAACCAGGCGCCCCACGCCCCAAGTTGTGCTTTGACCATTTCACTTAAAGGCATGTTTCCTTAGCTTGCTTTTTAAGTCCTGTTGGTTCCCACATTAGGGATAAGGTTGTATAACTGTGACCCCAGAATTTTAATTTTAAAGAGCACCATTACTATAAAGTGACTTTAGAACAATTAACTTTTTAAAAAAAAAGATTTATTTTTATTATTATTTTTTTTATTGGAAAGGCGGATATACAGAGAGGAGAGACAGAGAGGAAGATCTTCCATCCGATGATTCACTCCCCAAGTGAGCGCAACGGCCAATGCTATGCCGATCCGAAGCCAGGAGCCTCTTCTGTGTCTCCCACGCAGGTGCAGGGTCCCAAAGCTTTGGGCCATCCTCGACTGCCTTCCCGGGCCACAGGCAGGGAGCTGGAAGGGAAGCAGGGCTGCTGGGATTAGAACCGGCGCCCACATGGGATCCCGGGCGTGCAAGGCGAGGACCTTAACCACTGCGCCACCGCGCCGGGCCCTAGAACAATTAACTTTTTTTTTTTTAAGATTTATTTATTTTTATTGGAAAGTCAGATATACAGAGAGGAAGAGAGACAGAGAGGAAGGTCTTGCATCCGATGGTTCATTCCTCAGTGGCCGTAACTGCTGGAGCTGAGCCAGTCTGAAGCCAGGAGGTCTTCTGGGTCTCCCACATGGGTGCAGGGTCCCAAGGCTTTGGGCCATCCTCGACTGCTTTCTGAGGCCACAAGCAGGGAGCTGGATGGGAAATGGGGCCTCCAGGATTAGAACTGGCGACCATATGGGATCCCAATGTGTGTGAAGCAAGGACTTTAGCTGCTAGGTACTGTACTGGACCCAGAACAGTTAACATTTAAATTTCACAATTTGTATTGGTCATGGAAGCATTGTATTTACATTGTCACAGATTACACAGCATGCACTGGTTTCCTTATTTTCTCACTAAGCCAGACATTGGGTAGGGTGGTGTTTTACAGGTGGCACTTTGACATTCTCTGGAGGGTGGGGAGGGCATTCAGAAGCACTTTAACTCTTTAACTTAGGTGCTGTGTTACTTGTGAGGTTCTGTTGAAATGGAGGAAGGTCAGTGTATTTCCTCTGGGCATAGAATATTCTGTTAATGTGTTCTGCGCTTGAGCTACTTGTATAGAAGACAGCGCTTTTAAAAAGCAAGCAGGCTAACCAGAAATCACACAGATGGCACCAGGGCTGTGGCATAGGGGTTAGCTGTCGTGGCCATCTGGGGAGTGTACCAGCGGATGGAAGATGTCTCTGCCTCAACTGATTCTGTAACTCTGCCTTTCAAATAAATCAATTAAAAACAAAAAAAAAAAAAAAAAAAAAGGAAAGGAATCCTGGAGGTAACTTCCAACCTGTGATTGCTGATATCCCCTCCAGCCTCCAAAGCAAAAGTAGAAATAGAAGGCAAGGTGCAGGAGTTCATGGGTCCTGCTGCTGCTGTAGCAACCAGTGAGGGCCCGGGGCCTGGCTGCTGGGCTGCTGGGTTACTGGGCTGCTGAGCTGCTGGGCACGCTCCTTGTTATTGACAGGCCTCTGCTTTCCTGCGCTAGGCTAGGGCTTTAGACATCCAGGATTCAAACTTGACTATTCCTAGGCTTAGCAAAAATACCAACGAAAAGGTAGAAAGGGTTGAATAACTAGATTATTTGTTCATTTTATGGTATAGACAGCACAGTTGAAAGAACCTAGCCCTTGGAGTCTGATGTACCTGGGATTGACTTCTTGCCCTTACATGTGTGTAAGATATTGAACCTCCCTGAATGCATTATTTCCTTATTGTACAATATTTCAATATTTCATTGTACAATTTCATTGTACAATATTTCATTATTGTACAATGAAGGGCATATCTACTTGAGACTATTGCTATGAAATTTAATGAGAATGTTTGCAAAGCTCTTTTTGTTTATAAATAAACAGACAGAGACAAAAAGAGAGCTCCAACTATTGGTTAACTCCCCAGATGGTCATAATGTCCAGGGCCAGGCCAGGCAAAGCCGGGAGTCAGGAGTTCTCCTGGTCTGCCACCTGGAGACGGACAGGGCACAAGCACTTGAGCCATCTCCACTGCTTTCCCAGGCCGTTAGCTGGAACTCCAGCCGGCACTCATGAGATCTCAGGGTTGCAGGGAGACACATTACCCGCCATCCCACAGTGCCAGCTCCCAGAGCCCTTAGAGTAATAGAGATGCTCAGTCAGTGGTAGGTTGCTATTATTAACATTCATTGCCCGAGACAATTTACTATAGAAAAATTCTGGGTATTAGTGAGTGTAAACATTTTTGTTGATGTGAATTGGTATCAAGGCCATTCTAAAAATGATGAAATTTTTAACCAATACCATGGAGATCTATAAAAATCTGCAGGTCTTTGGAGATGATAAACAAAATATCATCTTTCAATTGTAACATATTATTCCATAGGGGAGAGAATTAGTTTTTGAAGATTTTGATCATCACACAGTTTCTGTTATTGGATGTATTTTTTCAAGATTGTAGAGCCCAATGATCTGAGAAATATGGTGTTGATGATGTGTTTTTCCCCTACTCTTCCCCAGCTGCTCAGATGAAGAATTTGATGAGCCAACTAGGAACTAAGCAGGACTCAAGCAAGCTACAGGAAAATCTGTGAGTAGCTTCTCATAAAGGCTGGGTTCGGGGAGGGCTCTCCGAAAAGTGCTTGACGTCTTGCTACACGGCGGCTGCGTTTCAGATCTGTGGGTCAGGAAGAGAGGAGTGGCTCCTGAAGGGATAGCTGGAGCCAGAGGAGGAGGAGGAGCCTCTGGTGGGGTGTAATTTCCGCTGTTCTGTTCCCTCCAGCAGTGGGGCAGAATCCAGGGAGGCGGAGAAAGGGACCCTACTGTTTGTAAACTGTCCTTTCCCCCACCATCTCAGTCAGTCTTCTGATTGGCATAGGGCTTCTGATGGGATAGTCTAGTTGGATTTCCAATTTTTTATAATATTAGAAAAATTAACTCAGAATAGCCTGTGGGAGAGGAAGAGACTGATAGTGGGAACTCCTGATTTCTTTTTATCCCATCCTTCTTGACCTCATTTCTCCTTTTAGAAGTTCTGTTCTTCATTTTTAAACTATTATTTGTTGGGCCATGCAAGATGGGTCAGTGCCCAAATTCTCACCTTATAAGTGCCAGGATCCCACTGGGCTCCAATTTGTGCCCCAGCTGCTCAGCTTTCCATCCAGCTCCCTGCTTGTGGCCTGGAAAAGCAGAGGAGGATGGGCCAAAGCCTAGGGATGCTGTATCCACGTGGGAGACCCGGAAGAGGCTCCTGGCTTAGGATCGGCTCAGCTCTAACCATTGCGGCCACTTGGGGAGTAAACTAGCAGATAAAAGATCTTTCTCTCTTTGTCCTCTGTAAATCTGATCTGCTTTTCCAAGAAAAATAAATAAATCTTAAATAACAAAACAAAACATTTGTTTTTTGTCCTAGACATTGTGAAGTTAAAGAAAGATAATTATTACTGTGGGCGTTTCTTTCTTTTTTTTTATAGGATTTATTTATTTTTAATGGAAAAACAGATCAGATTTACTGAGAGGAGAGATAGAACAATCTTCCATCCACTGTTTCACTCCCCAAGTAACTTCAACAACTGGAACTGAGCCCATCCGAAGCCAGGAGCCAGGAGCTTCCTCCATGTCGCCCATGTGGGTACAGGGTCCCAAGGACTTCAGTTATCCTCTGGTGCTTTCCCACACAGCTCCCACACAGACAGGGAGTTGGGTGGGAAGTGGAGCAGCCAGGACACAAAGCAGCACCCATATGGAATGCTGGCACTTGCAGGTGGAGGATTAGGCTGTCGAGCCATGGATCCAGTCACTACTGTGAGCATATTCTAGGGCAAAGTGAAATATCTGGATATTTTAGTAGTCTCTGGGATTTCAGGCCTGATGTTTTTGATTTTTGTGTATGTATTAGTAGGCTAGTTTCTTAAACTGTTCGAACTACTGTAACAGTGTTGTGAATTGGGAGGTTCATCCTCAAAGTGTTCTGTAGGTTGGAGTAAGCAAGGTAAAGACGGTGGTAAATACAGTGACCGGTGAGGGCCAGCTTTGTCATGGATGGTGCCTTCTTCCTATTACCTCATTTGGTAGAAGGGGCAAGGCAACTCTTAGACATTTCTTCTTCAAAAATTTTGTTTACTTATTTATTTGAGAGAGAGAGACAGGAAGAAAGTATTTCTGGTCCAGTCTTCAAATGTTTAAAACATTAGAATTAGGCAGGGGTGAACCTGGGAGCTAGTATCCCAATCCAGGTACTCCACATAGTGGCAAGGCCTCAAGTTACTTGAGCCTTCACAACTGCCTCGCAGAGACTGCATTAGCAGGAAGCTGGAGTCATTTTTCCAGTTGTTGGACCCAAGTACTTTGGTTTTGGATATGGGTATATTTGTTGTTGAGATTTGTTCATTTACTTGAAAAGTGACAGGAAAGGGGAAAAAGAGATCTTCCTATCTGCTGGAATATTCTCCAAATGCCTGCACCAGTGGAGGCTGGGTCGGGCAGAAGTCAGGAGACCAGAAATCCATCTGGGTCTGCCATATGAGTGGTAAGTGCCCAAGCATCTGGGCTGTCAGCGGCGGCTTTGCAGAAAGCTGGATCAAAAGTGGAGTAACCAGGACTCTTACTGACAGTCTGATAGGGGATGATGCATCCCAAGCACAGCTTAAGCTGCTCAATGTCTGCCCTGGGATACTGGCTTGTTAACCACTAGCTTGAACACCTGAAGACTTTAAAATGAGCCATTCAGGAAGGTTCCATCTTCATAATCTAATCAATTCCTGAAGGATTGCACCTCGTAGTACTGTTTCCTAGGGATTGGAATTTCAACATAGGAATTTTTGAGGAACACAGCATCCACTCTGCAGCATGGGGTTTCTCTGTCCTCCTTTAAAACCTGTGTAGAAAAAGCCTGAGAATAGAGACAACCATGAACAAAAAGGATTCTTTATAATTCCATTGCTTTGCAGCCCCACTTAGTGTATTACATAGTTCCTCTTTAATTTCTTTTCTCCTCTCTCTCTGTATGTATTTTAAAACTGCAAAGGGCTTCTTTGTTTCAGAGGGAATAGCCAGGAAGTCAAGCATAATGAGCAGGTAGGGAGCCATGGGTAAAGCTGAGAATGAACCAGCTTTAAGGAAGGACAGGGAGCATAGATCTTTGGAGATTGCCCCCTGGGTAGGCAGGAGGCAAGGAGGCAATGTTGTTTTTTTTTTTTTTTTTAAAGACATACTTACAGGGAGAAGGAGGGACAGAGAGAATTTTCTGCCTGCTGGTTCACTCCTCAAGTGGCCACAATGGCCAGAACTAAGCTGATCCGAAGCCACGAGTCAGGAACTTCTAGACCTCTCATGCGAGTGAAGGGTCCCAAGGAATTGGGCCATCCTCCACTGCTTTCCCAGGCCACAAGCAGGGAGCTGGATGGGAAGTGGAGCAGCTGGGACGCAAACCAACACCTTTATGGGATCCTGGCACATGAAAGGGTAGGATTTAGCCACTAAGCTATCATGCTGGACCTGAGGCAATGCTTTTAATGACCTTTTCATTCTGCCCCAGTGCCTGGATTCTGATCAGTGGCCTGTGACAAACACTGACCATGCGAAAGTCCTGGGAAGTTCAACTGGAGGGTTTTGTGAGAATTCAATGTTGAAAAGGTGAAATTTAGGTTAAGGTGGTGTTTACTCTCCTTACATTTCTTTTCTCCCCAAGAATGATGATGTCTGATCTGTGCCTCCCTCAGTCGGTGTCGCTGAGGCCGCTCAGTGATGTGAAGGGCCTGGAAGGGAGTGTGCAGGGCTGGTGTTGCTGAGCACCAAGAAGTGACAGCATCCTGAATCCTATCTTTTCTCTCTTAGACAACAGTTGCAACACTCCACAAATCAGCTGGCCAAGGAAACAAATGAATTGCTAAAAGAATTGGGGTCCTTGCCACTTCCCTTATCTGCTTCCGAACAGGTTGGTATTTTCTGTTTTATTCTGCTTATTCAGTAGGAAGACAGTGTGGAAAACAAACACAAGTTGATCCAGGTGCTGGTTGGCTCTCTTCTGTAAAGTGGTACATATGTGACCAGTGCGCCAGGACAGAGGATGTGCACCCAGTGTAGCCAAGTGCTTGGCACGTGTAGGTATTCCACAGGCCACGAGTCAGGAACTTCTGACTAGTGGCTGTTGCTGTCATTAATAGCATGTTCTCAATGTTTTACTCTATTATGATTTACTCTATTGAGTAAATCTCAATGATTTACTCTATTTGTTTGAAACAGTGAGGGAGAAAGAGGGAAATGGAGGGAAAGAGATCTTCCATCTACTGTTTTACCCCCAAAATGACTACAAAAGCAGGGATTGGATCAGGCCAAAGCCAGGAGCTTGGAACTCCCTTGGAGTCCCCAACATGAACATGGAAGGAAGGGGCCCAAGTATTTGGGTTATCTGAGCTGGATTGCCAACATCATAAACAGTGGCTTCCCTGTTACGCCACAACCCTGACCCCAAGATTTCCACTTTATTCAGTGGCCATTCAGTCATTTAAAAACACAATCTGAATAATGCAGTGATTTTGTGCATAGTTTCCTAAAGTTATGTGTGGCCCACCCTTCACAGTGGCTGCCTCATTTACCTGTAAAATGGCCTCCCTCAAGTCCTTCCTCAGGAAGACAGCCTCCATCTATGCTCGCCTGTTGTGATTCTGTTTTGCTTTTAGCTTCCAGGATATTCACTAGGGGCACTTAACTTGCACTGCTTTTCATTATTGGACATTGTAAATGTTGATACCCTGTCCCTAATGACTCTGAAAACAAAGCTTTCTGAGTTGTTTTTCAGACCATGAATCATAGATATTAGAATAGGGAATCATTTTAGTGTGTTGTGAACAGCATTTAAAAAAATGTAATGAGTAGAAAAGCTAGAATGTGTACCATGTGTTAAGGGCAGATGCTATTACAGGCAACATCTATTTCATATGTTTGTGTGAGCCTGATCCCAGGTTGTAATGTCAAATTCTTACTGGAGATCTGTTTATCAGGCAGGAGTTTTGGTTCCCACTTGCTTGAAAGAGGAGCCAAGACTGCATGCTTCATCATCGCACCACAAAGTTGTAAAAAAGGGCAGATATGTGACCTTGTGGTTAAGACACCACTTGGGGCCTGCACACCTTACCAATCCCACTGCTTTCGAGTTTCAAGTCTGGGCTGTGGCGCCTGCTGAAGGACACACTCTGGGAGACAGCCCTGTGATGGCTCAGTTATGTCCCTTCTGCCTTTGTGGGCTACCTGGATTGAGTGTCTGATTCTGAGCTTTGCCATAACCAAGCCAGCCCTGGTGTTGTGGCATTTGAGGGGCATGGACCAGAAGGAGCCTTATCCTCTCTCTCTCTCTCTCTCTACCTCCACTTCTACCTCCCTACCCTTTCATTCTCTCTTGTCTCTACCTGTCATATTAACTCTTAACTAATTAATTAGAAATATGAAAAGTATAAAATCCTAATTGGTCTTGCTCTAAAAAAAAGTCATCTTGCTATAATCACCCTTTTGTTATCAATCTGTGGGTTGTTTATTTTAATTGTTCTTCATGCTGACTTCAGTGTAAGCCAGTTCCCCCTTGCCATCCAGTATCTCCAGACAGTTCTCAAATTATCCCTTTCTTCCTCTCAGCTGCACAGCTAAGCAATATGTACTTTTTTTTTTTAATATAGTGATAGAAAGAAAGTCTACAGGTCTGCTTAAGACAGACTATTCTGAAGTGCTTCACGGTTAAGTGTAGCCTAAGCAAAATAAAAATAGAAAATTAAATCTGCTACCCCAAATTTTCTCATCTAATGTATTTGAGATGTAAGCAAAGGTTGTTTTTGGATCATGCATGCTGTTGTTCTTGTCCATTAGCTGGGGTCATTAAGCATGCAAAATAAATAAACTGCCCTCTCTGGTGAGACAACTCTGATTCCTTTCCTCCTGTTGTGCTGATTCCCTTCTTTCTTTCTTACTGTTTTGTTGTCTCATTAATTTTAGCGCCTTAGCCCATCTGTTCATGACAATCTTACACATTGTAACTCCTGCTTTCAATTTTTTGTTGTTGTTGTTGCATGCTGTCATCAGTGATCTAGTTGCCTAATCCAGTGGCCTTTTTCTGAGTGTTTACTCACTTTCCTTGTTTTCTTTGATCCTCTTGTCCATCCCATCTCCTTTATTCTTCCTGTTACTCTCTTTGGTGCGCGTACCCCGTCTGGTGACCCCCCAGGCTTCTTCTCAGCCCTCTGCCCGGGCCTTCCCCAGGCTCGGCCAATGCTCACTTTCTCTGCTGCTGTGCTGCTTCCCTCAGGAGTCCTGTCTTTTGCCAGATTCCCTGTCCCCTCAGTAATCATGACACCCACATCTTTTCCCTCCTCATCCCCTTAGCCCAAGTTTCCATCCACTTGGTCCAGGTCCTGCCCTGACATCTCCTCCTGAATATGCTGCCTTCATAAATAAATATGTGAAGTCTTGTACTGAGTTCCTCATGTCTCACCCTAAACCCTTAGATAAGCTAATTTGTAGTATTTATTATCATAAGAAGTTTGTGCTTTTTAAAAAAATCTTTATTTATTTAGAAGACACATTTTGCAGAAAGAAAAGGATAGAGTCTTCTGTCCGCTGCTTTACCCACCAATGGCCAGAACTGGGCTGATCCAAAGCTGGGAGCCAGGAGCTTGCTCTGTTTCTCCCATGTGGGTGCAGGGTCCCAAGACCTTGGACCATTCTCCACTGATTTTTCAGGCTATAAACAAGGAGCTGGATGGATGAAAATGTTTACACTAAAATATTTAAAAGAATTTGGGGATGGAGAGGTTGGGGGATGATGTCTTCATTCTCCTTATTGCTGTAATGTTTATTTAAAAATTGAAATTCCAGAATGAGGAGAAGAAGTTATTCTCCCAAGTTTGCTTTCAATATTATTGTTTTTTTCTGGTTTGGAATTTGAGTCATTCTTTTTTTTTTTTTAAGATTTATTTTATTTATTGGAAAGGCAGATATACAGAGAGGAGAGACAGAGAGGAAGATTTTCCGTCCAATGATTCACTCCCCAAGTGAGCGCAACGGCCGATGCTATGCCGATCCGAAGCCAGGAGCCTCTTCCGGGTCTCCCACGCGGGTGCAGGGTCCCAAAGCTTTGGGCTGTCCTCGACTGCCTTCCCGGGCCACAGGCAGGGAGTTGGAAGGGAAGCGGGGCTGCCGGGATTAGAACCGGCACCCGTATGGGTTCCTGGGTGTGCAAGGCGAGGACCTTAACCACTGCGCCACCGCGCCGGTCCCAGAGTCATTCTTGACTTTCATTTTCCCCTACCATAGTCACCATGTCTTAATAGTTCCTAAATTGATTCTTCATTTTTTTCCCTAAAGAGTTATTTATTTTTTATTTATTTGAAAGAGTGATAGAAAAATGATGTGACTGTTTGAAAGACTATACTATTGTTATAGAGGAAAACAGTAGGAGGGAGCGAGATGAGGAGGGTGGAAGGGGAAATCCCTGAGCCCCTGGAACTGTATCATGAAAAATAAAAGTTAAAAAAAAAAGAAAGAAAGAAAGAGTGACAGCAAGAGATGAAAAGAGAGAGAAACAGAGCGATGGATCCTCTTGTTTCCTTGCTTCCTAAATGGCTGCAGTGGCTGGAGCTGGGTCCAGGTCCTGATGAAGCCAGGAGCCTAGAATTCCATCTGCGTCTCTCACATGGGTGGTAGGGGCCTTGGTACTTGGGCCATCTTCCTCATCTTTTCCAGGCACTTTAGGAGGGCAGCTAGATGGGAAGTGAAGCAACTGGGACTTGAACTGGCACTCTGATATGGGATACCTTTATTTTGTTACCTTGAGGACCCCTCCTAAGTCCTTCTTTCTGAACCCATTACCGTGTTAAAAATCCTAAAACTATTGAAATAATCTTTGCAGTGTGTTCCCTTTTTCTATTCTACTTTATATATCATCACCAACCAGTGTTTCTAAATTATCATGTTCCCTGCTTAGCAATCTTCATTGCCCTGCAAATCTACTCCTGTCAGCACCTCCCTTGCTTTTCTAGTGTTACCTTTTAGCTGTGCTCATGAATAAACCTTTGGTTCCAGCCACACGGCCTCCTGTGAACCCTTTTTAAGATTTCTGCTGTTCTGCCTTTGTTCATGCTCTCCCCATACTTGCACAGCCTTACCCCTTCCGTTTTTTCCTGCCTTACTCCACCATCAGTGTCTGTCTCTTAAGGCTTTTTTTTTTCTACTTAATTTCTTACTGATTATTCTTGCCCCTGAACTCCTTTGATACTTACTGGATATAGCAATTATTCATAATGAGTTTACTTGTCTGTCTACAACCTTTAGCTAAAAATAGGTGATAAGCTATTTGAGGTAAAGGGTGAGTTTCTACTTCTGTATTCTCAGCAGCTGGCTAGTGCTCTGTGTGTATTTTTTGAGACATTGAAGTAGCAGATTTGATAAGGTAACCTGCATGGGACAGTCATTGTGACTCAATAGGTTAAGCCACCCATTGGTACACAAATATCCAACCTTAGAGTGTCAGTCTGATCGCAGCTGCTCTTCTGATTGGGTTTCCTGCTCCTGTGCCTGTGATGTTGTGGATGAAGCCCTCAAAAGCTTGGGTTCCTTCTACACATGTGGGAGACCCAGATGGAGGTCCTTACACCTGGCGCCAGCCTGGCTCAACCCTGCCTGTTGTTACCATTTGGAGAGTGAATCAGTGGATGAAAGATCTCTGTTTGTCTCTTCTCTCTATATAAAACTGCTTTGAAAATAAATAAATCTTAAGAAAAAATCCTGTCCTATAATTTTTTTTCTTTATTTTAAAATCTTAATGGGGAATGCTGTTGCTTTTAATGGAAATGAAAACAAGTGATACTGGGTTAACAGGAAATTTTATGTTGTTGCTGAATTTCCTCAGCGCCAGCAGAAACTTCAGAAGGAACGCCTCATGAATGACTTCTCCGCAGCCTTAAACAACTTCCAAGCCGTGCAGAGAAGGGTGTCGGAGAAAGAAAAGGAGAGCATTGCCAGGGCTAGAGCTGGGTCTCGGCTTTCAGTAAGTGGGTTCCCCAGGGGGCGTTGTTACCCTTCCTGGATGCAATGTCACAACTTGAGCGAAGTTAGTCACCTTGTGGAATCTAAAACCCTATCCATGACTTTCTCATACTGTTATGTAAACCTTGCTGGTTTATCTTATAGTTTGGATAATTGATTATTGCATGATTTCTAAAACATGTATCTGTCATTTTGAAAAGAGTGGTTCCCAGATATGTAAGTCTTAGATGTGACACACCTCATTATACAACAGAAAAAGGAAAAACATGTTACTATGGGTTTCAACAGACAACTTTTCAAACACTGGGAAGCTCTTCACAGTGTTAGATGTGGGTTTCAGAAATTCTCGATCTTTGTTTTGTTTTGCTTTTTACTTGAAATTTACATTTTTATCATTGGCAACCAATACTGTTGAGCCCCTTGAAGGGTAGACTTGGTGATTTTCAAGAAGTCTGCTATCTGAAAAGTTTCTGTGTATATCCCAAAAAGCTTATGAAAGTTTTGTAGATAAGCAAAAATGCTGTTCCCCAAAGTTGCTAGTTCAGCCTGCAACTGTAGGTCAGTTACACAGATGCTTTCCTTGGAAGCAAACATACTGCTGTACGTAGCTGAGGGAGTTCGTATGTACTACCCATTTCATTATACTGACTATTAAAATGATGTGCTTTGAGAGATCAAAATTTAATTAATCGTTTCTGTAGAAGGCTTCATCAAGGACAGCTCGGATTTTCTTTTCTCCCTGTGAGTACGTGGCAATGAGTAATACTAGTCCAGTCTGATGCCATGACTCAGCCATTTTATCCACCAGTGCTTTTGCTCCATGAGTGCAAATGTCAACACAGGAAAAAGGCGAGTAAGCATGAGTGTAATTTTAAATAATGATAAAGCAAATGAAAGGGTACACAGCTTCTTCAGTAATCCTGGAATCTCAGGTTGAAACAGTGAGATTGTATGAAACGCAGCGAGGGTGTTGGTTGAGGATGTGATGCACCGGGAACCTTCCTGCCTGTCCAGTACGGGTAGTACAAATCGAAACAACCCTTTGGAAGACATTTTGGCTGTATCTGTAGAACACTTGTACACCTTGTGACCCAGCACTTCCATCCTGGGGAACCCGTACATGTGTCTGCCGGAGTGTATGTAGGAGAATGTTCCCTGCAGTAGCACTTACAGCAGCCATTCACAAATTGAAAACATGCAGATGTCCATCAAAGGTAGAATGGATGAGCATGCTATGGTGTTCATGTACCGAGTTATTCCAGAAAGAAAATGAACAAACCACGGTTGCATTCAGCATCAGGGACACATTTGGTGTTCTCTGGAATGTGATACAAGCAAAGCATTTAAGAATGTAAGCAGTATAATTCCATTATGTAAAGTTCAGACACAGCAAATTGATATGTAACAGATGTATGTCACTGTCTTTAAACTGCAAGTCAGCGTCGTGGGTACTTAGTGGGGAAGGAGGTCTACTGGAGAGAGCATGTGGGTGGGTTTCCAGGACACTGTCAGTGTTCTTGATCTGGGGAGAAAGGAAAAACAAACAACAACAAAAAACTCACAATATTATTCTCAGTTGGCAAATTTGTAAAATTCCCTTCATTTTTGATTGTCCTCTATTGCTATCATAGGACGTTTAAGACTCTTAAATTGAAAATAGGTTTGTCTTTAGCAGTTACAGAGTAATATGTACATTAGTCAGATTTTTGAAGTGAATTTTCCACTATAATACTTAATATGCTATATTCTTGGAGAAATATTTACATTTTCTTAACCTTGCAAGAAATCAACCCTTTCCTTACCTTCCCCTATCTTCAAAAAGACTGTGGTTGTGTTTATTATTATCCTTGCTTCATACTATTTAATACAATTTCTGGTCTGGGTCCAGAGGGAAAGGACAGGCTTGCTTTCAGTCCATTTCTTGGTTAAGATAGTTTCCCAGAATCCTGTGTCATCTTCCAGATCCTGTCAAAGCCAAGAGATGTCACTTCTTTATACTGTAGCTAAGGAAACCCTTGTGTGTATGTGTGTATTTGTGTGTGCACACATATGTGTGTGTGTCTGGGATGTATTTCTGAATAACAGCAATAATACCATCTGTTTTGCAGGCGGAAGAGAGGCAAAGAGAGGAGCAGCTTGTCTCATTTGACAGGTAAAAGAGTTATTCATAGAACCAACTGGATAGTTATGATGGGAGTATATATCTTTTAAAATGATTTTTGATTTAAAAAAAAAAATCACTAGGGCTGCTGTGGCACAATGTTAAGCCACCTCTGGGGATGCTTATATTTCATTGTCAGTGTGCCGGTTCTAGTCCTGGCTTCTCATCCAGCTTCAGATTAGTGTGCTGGGAAGGCAGTGGAAGATGGCCCAAGTGCTTGGGTCCCTGCCATCAACATGGGAGACTGGGAATTCTGGTCTCCTGGCTTCAGCCATCTGGGACATAAACAAGTAGATGGAAGATCTTTGTCACTTTGCCTTTCAAAGAAATAAGTAAATCTTTTAAAAAGAAATTAATTAAAAGGAAAGTATAACAAAAGGTAGGTCTTTGGTAGGTAATAGAAAATCTACATAATAAAAATTAAAAACCATCGACTCTGTTAGGACTGTCTTAATATCTTTGGATTAGGGAAGGAGTCATTGCAGATAACATACAGATTTTTTTTTAAAGATTTATTTTTATTATTTTTTTTATTGGAAAGGCAGATATACAGAGGAGAGACAGAGAGGAAGATCCTCCGTCCAATGATTCACTCCCCAAGTGAGCGCAACGGCCGATGCTATGCCGATCCGAAGACAGGAGCCTCTTCCGGGTCTCCCACGCAGGTGCAGGGTCCCAAAGCTTTGGGCCGTCCTCGACTGCTTCCCCGGGCCACAGGCAGGGAGTTGGAAGGGAAGCGTGGCCGCTGGGATCAGAACCGGTGCCCATATGGGATCCCGGGCGTGCAAGGCAAGGACCTTAACCACTTGTGCCACCACGCCAGGCCCAACATACAGATTTTTAAGAAGCCCTGATGTCTATATGTTTCAGGGAAGACCTTGAGTCTGCAGGAGTAAGCGTGACTTCACAGGGAAGTCTAAATCACTTGACCTCTAATTCAGAGCATGTTCTCCGAAGTGCTTGTGTATAGGCCTACTCACCTTTACAAAAGGACATCTCACTTTCCCCTCCCCTCCCCTCCCCCTCTCCTCCCCTCCCCTCCCCTCTCCTCCCCTGCCCTCCCCTCCCCTGCCCTCCCCTGCTCTCCCCTCCCCTCCCCTGCCCTCCCCTCCCCTGCCCTCCCCTCCCTCCTCCTCTCCTCTCTTTTTTTCTTTTGTTCTTTCTTACTTCCTTCCCTTTTTTGATTTTTTTAGATTTATTTATTTTTATTGCTAAGATTTACAGAGAGGAGAAAGATCTTCCATCTGTTGGTTCACTCCTCAAGTGCCTGCAATAGCCGGAGTTGAGCCAATCCAAAGTCAGGGCCAGGAGCTTCTTCCGGGTCTCTCGTGTAGGTACAGGGTCCCAAGCTTTGGGCCATCCTTGACTGCTTTCCCAGGCCACAGGCAGGGAGCTGGATGGGAAGTTAGAGCATCCGGGACAAGAACTGGTGCCCATATGGGATACTGGTGCATGCAAGGCGAGGACTTTAGCCACTAGACTACTACGTTGGGCCCTGATTTATTTTATATTATTTTAAAATCAGAATTAGAGAAGGAGAGATGGAGAGAGGCCTTCCATGTGCTGGTTTAATCCTCCAAAGGCTGCAGTGGCTGCGATGGTCAGAGCTGAGTCAATCTGAAACTTGGATCCAGGAACTGTATCTGGTTTTCACTTGCAGGTCCAGGGGCCCAAGTAGTTGGGCCATTTTCCACTTTTTTTTTCAGACACATTAGCAGGGAGCTTCAGCAATGGTCCTGGGATTCTGCCTTAGAAACTTCTGCCTTTCTAGCACTTGGAGATAAAGGATGGTTTATCCATACCCTTGGAAAAGCATACAACACTGGAGTTTCAGGGTTTTTGGGGTCCAGTGTAGTAAGAGATAGGCCTTCAGTGAGTTGGTTCATGTCACTGGCTGCTTTCTTTGTCTGGCATGTCCTTGCCACTCCTCGGTGGAACTGGTGAGGAATGCTTCCCTTATAATCCTCCTTTGTTTTAGTTTTGCCCGTGTCCCCCCTGATACCAGCTCTTTGCCTCTTGACAGAAAGTGTGTGACCCTCCAGGTCTTTGTGGCAGTAGCAGTGTGTCTATAGGAGGCTTTGTTGGCTTGTTGTAGAGTGCAGAGCATTAGTGTACCTGTCTTTCTGCAGCCATGAGGAGTGGAACCAGATGCAGAGCCAGGAGGACGAGGCAGCCATCACCGAGCAGGACCTGGAGCACATCAAAGAGCGGGAGACAGCCATTCGGCAGCTTGAGGTGAGGACCGGGCCATGATTCCTGTTTGACTCAGGAGCTGTGGCCATCTGGACTCCATCCACCTGAATTTCCTCTCAGTTACCATGAAGTGAGTCATGTGTGAGATTGGCATATTATCTCAGTGTTCACTGTTAGGAGATTGGCCTTGGTGCTCAAGAGTAGCCACGATTCTTTGCTCAGTCATGTGGTCTCCTGGAGAAACACACAGAACGGAGCAGGGGAGACAGGATGTTACTGCTCGCCTGGACTTTTTCCCCAACTCAGCACCAACTCCTAGGTTAGGCAGGGCTCTTCAAGGAGCCCCTTGCTGTCGTCTGGATGGTCCATGGCAAAGGCAAACCAGAAATCTTGCTTCATTTTTATACAACCTGAAGTCAATCCCATGTTGTGGATATTACAACTTATCAGAGAAATTGGAACAGTTTTGGGGGTAAAGTTGCAGTGGAAAGGTTGTAGGCCTTTCTTAGGTAACTTAGCTTCCAACTTTATGAAGTGATCAGTAAAATACCTTTAAATTGCAGTAGTTGTCTCCTCTCTGGAGTTAGAATTCTGCCACCTCTGTGGTAAGGAGGAAAGAAACTTTCCTCCCCCTTGACCTTCGTCTGTACCAGTGTTCAGAACCCTGGCTACCTCAGCTCTCTTCTTCCACCACAAACTATTAAGTTGGACTGTGAAATTCCTGCTCCCAGATTTCTGTGATGTGCAAGAGGGTAAGAATTACTGCCCAGGCCCTTAGTATCTGGTTTTAAATGAGACAATTTATCCTCAATTTATACTATATTTTATTACCTTCAAAGATGTCATATCTTTTCTTGACTTTTTGGTGGGGGAGGGGCTTTATTTAATTTTCCTTTACTTTTTTACACTTGCTACTTCTAATCATTTTCTTAGATCTCTAACATTAGAACTAGAATTGCTGCGGGCCCAATGCGTTAATGTAGCAGCAAAAGTCCTTGCCTTGAACACACCGAGATCTCCTTATGGGCACCAGTTCTAATCCCTGTGGCCCTGCTTCCCATCCAGCTCCCTGCTTGTGGCCTGGGAAAGCAGTCGAGGACGGCCCAAAGCCTTGGGACCCTGCACCTGCGTGGGAGACCTAGAAGAAACTCCTGGCTCCTGGCTTCGGATCGGCTCAGCTCTAGTTGTCGGGGCTGCTTAGGGACTGAATCATTGGACAGAAGATCTTCTCTGTCTCTCCTCCTCTCTATATATCTGACTTTTTTTTAAAGATTTATTTGTTTTTATTGGAAAGTGAGATAAACAGAAAGGAGGAGCGATAGAGAGGAAGATCTTTCATCCGATGATTCACTCCCGATTCCCACCCATCCCAGGTCCCTGGTGTGGGGCGTGCTCCGAGGGTCCTGCTCAACTGGTTTTGACAGTTCAACAATTCTGATTTTCTGCCAATCTCGCCACTCTGAGCATGATGAGGTCATTGAAGAATCCACTAATTGAAATAGTCCATCTTAGAGTCTCCGTTTGCCCAGTTTTTCATTGCCAACATATAAGGTGGTTGATTGACTTGTTCTGTCTGCTGTCTTTTCATGGTTAGGGTTCTGGGTCTGGCAATTTGATTGGGGAGATGCCCAAAGAAACTTTGTCTGAGGTGTTCCCAGACCAGATTCTTGTATGTACTGGCAAATACAGGGCCCGCCACAGATCATCACCCCAATCAGCTGGTGGTTGCAATTGCTGGGTCAGTTCTGTTTCCATTTCTGTCTTCCACTGGAACCAATGGGTGTTACAGTCCAGTCTGGTTCTGCCCCACACACACTCAGCCCTCACATAAACCAGCGGGAGCTGCAGCCCAGTCAGAGCGACCCACAATAACCCCCCTAGGCCCACCCCCTATCCTTGTTTGCCAATATATGCAGCAGACTAGTCCAGTTTGTCCCACATCCCATTCAGCTCTCATACATGTCAATGGGTATTGAAGCCTAGTTCCATCTAAACAGCTCCACTATCCAGCCCTCATGGATGTTGTTGAGTGCCTTTCTGTCTAGCCACCCAAGACCCTGTCCTGGTTTTTGTGCCCTCCCATGGAAGTGGTAACCCAAGAGGGAGGAGCCCACTATTTCCCTCCCAGGCCACTCCCACTTCTGGATTATGCACTCTCCAGGTGGTTCTGTGATTTAACTTGACAGAATTAGCCCCCAGTGCCAGCTTCTGCCAGCTGATGCTGTGGCTAAGCCCAAACAACCCTCACCCACTCTAATTTTAGTTTGCACTAGGAGGAACAATCAGCCCAGCCTGGCTTTTCCCTGATCTAGTCCACCTGAGGCGTACAGGTGTTGTAGCCCTGCTTAGTCTGGTCTGCCCCCATCCCAGCTCATGCTCTCCAATGGGAGTAGCCGTCCAGCAGGGGAGCACCTTCATGTTCCCCACGCCGGCTCCACCCCGTCCCTTCCTGGTTCTCACGTGTGCTGGTTGGGCACTGCAGTCATCCGGTACAGGTCACCTCACCTTGGCCTTCCGTAATGTGCACTGTTTTTTTGTCGCGACAGAACCTGGTTCGACCCACACTCTGTTCTGGTACTTGGTTTTGCCAGTTGATGATGTGAACTTCAGCCTGGTCTGCCCCCGACCCATGCCAAATGTATGCCAGTGGGAAACTGTCCATGGCCTGTTCTGGGCTGTTTCCTATCATGTTTCTTGTACTTACCTGCCAGGTCTGTGTCCTGCCAGAGGAGTTGCCCAGGCTCCTCCATCAGAACCTCTCCCAATGCCAGATTTTGCGCATACCAGGGAGTCCATGAGCCAGCCCTACTCAGTTCACCTCCTGTCTTAGCAGGAACAGTGGTTTTTCCTGACTGGCCTTCAGCCCAATCTGGTTCTTACTGTAGGATGTTTCAGCTCAGCCAAGGCTTGTCCATACACACATACTGAGCTCACACATGGCTCAGTAGGAGCTGAGACCTAGCCTAGCCTGTCCTGGTCCTCCAGAGCACCAGACAGTGTTGGGGTTTAGCCCGGTTTGGTGCATCCAGTCCCAGTCCACACTTGTGTTAAGTGAGACTACAACTGTATCCTGATCAGAACACAACCCCCATTTCAGCCCATGTGCTCCTTGGTAGGAACCTCAACCCAGCTAGGGTATCCCCCTAGACCCCAACCAGGCCTGTTCCCAGCCATAGATTTTGCACATGCTGGTGGTTTGTCTGACTCAGCTTGGCACAGCCCCTCACCTGTCCTAGCCCTTGCCTTACAAATTGTGGCTTAGCGTCCCTGGCTCACGCAGACCAGTAGGTGCAAGAGCTTAGCTCAGCATGACCTGTGCTCTATCCTGATTTCTAATTTTGCTTGTGGGCTAGGTTTGCTCTGTCCTGCCTGGCCCACCCCATTCCATTACCAATCCACACATTAGCCAGTCTTTGGAGCTACTTTGCCCAGCTTGTCTGACCCCCCAGGTCTGGACCATGTGTTCACCAGCGGGAGCTATGACCCGCCAGGGGAGTTTCCCAAGTTCCTCCACTTGACCCACTCCCGGACTCAGTTCTCATACATGCCATTGGGTTTTAGGCCAGTATCCGGTATAGTCTGGCCTTCCAATTAGCCTTATATGAGCTGGTGAATGTTGCAGCCCGGCCCACTCCACACCCTATTCAGGATGCACATTCAGGTGCTGCTGCCTTGACCAGTCCAGACTGTTGTGGGTTTCTTTACCTGTGAGTGATGGCAGGCTCCTTGGTCATACCTAGTTTAGGCCTTCACCCTTTCAACTCTTGAGCTAACCAGTGGGGCTAGTATTTCCGTGGGGTTTGGCCCACACATCCCTCACAGAATCTACCCCCGAATATGGTTTTCTCGTGTGCTCCTTAATATTGGCCCTGCCTAATATTACCCGTTTCTTAATCTTTCATCATGTCAGGTAATAGGATATGATTCTGCTAGACAAGCCCCAAGCCTTAGCTTTTGCATGGACTGGTATTCGGTGGTCATCATTGTCCAGTGATTTACAAGTACTACACAGGATTTAAAGGAGTTTGATATATCAGTCTTATCCATAAAGATTGACATCCCAGAAGTACAGTGGGCTTGACATGAGATACCTAAGCAGCAATTCAAAGAACCAAAACCTGAGAGCTCCCTGGCCGGGTGGCCAGCAGGTGGAGCCTGGAGCCAAATGGCACACTGGCCACCCAGGGATAGGTCACCACGTGGATGGAGTGGCTGGAATTGGGGCTCCAAGCATGGAGACAATCCTGGCCTGGCACCCACCAGCAGCCAGCATGCTGCTGGAAGTTTAAATCCCCAGGTCCCACGTTCGCCCCCTCCCCAATCCTATCCACCACGCCATGATGACGGCGGGTGGGGCCCAGGCCCACCCAGCCTTCCAAACTTCCCCCTTCGATGTACTCACCATGAAGGGAGCTGTCTCTCCTTCCTTTAAATCTTAATAAAGGTGGATCATGTAGTTAAAGCCCTGTTGGCCAAGGATCAACTGTATTCAGCTGTGCTGTTCTGCTGGGAAGGACAGTGAGATAAGTGGAGCTAAGGAGAGGACTGTAGTGTGAAAGATGTCAGGAAAATAATCGATCACTTCACATTCAAAAGAATGAGATCCAGTTCCTTCGCTGGGGCTTGATTTTTAAATCTCATCATTTCTTACCTCTACCCAACAAACTCTGTTATACCCATGTTGGGATCTTTGCTCACTTGCTCTTTTATTTCTCTTTTTTTTAAGATTAATTAATTTATTTGAAAGTCAGATTTACAAACAGAAGGAAGAGAGAGAGAGAGAGAGAGAGAGAGAAATATCTTCCATCTCTTGATTTACAAGCAGCCATAGTGGATAGGGCTGGGCCAGGTTGAAACCAGGTGTCTGGAGCTGCTTCTAGATCTGTCAGGGTGCAGAAATCCGAACACTTTGGCCATCTTCCACTGTTTTTCCAGGAGCATTATCAGGGAATTAGAGCTGAAGTGGAGCAGCCTGATCACCAACTGCCATCCATATAGGATTCAAGTGCCATAGATAACAGATTTACATGCTGCACCTAGCACCAGCCCCATTCTTTTTAGAAACAAAATTTAAAAGAAACAGAAATTTGTTTTTCTATGTATGTTGCCTCTCCTTTGCTTTAAGACAGTTTAAGGTCCTACCTCTCCTATATGCCTTTCTATATACCATTCGTTAGTCACTTTCTGTGTAACACCCTTTCTTTCTTTCTCTTACTCATACTGTATATTTGTCACATACACATACACACCATGTCCCAGTTAGCTATGTGTACCTACAGCAGCTTGTAGACCGCCCCACTGTCATAGAACCTTGGCACATGTTTGAAATGCTACTTAATATCCCAGTCGCCCTCTGAGTCTAAGGGTTCTGATGGACCTCAGTATGTTCTCAAATGCTCCTCTCAAAATGCTGTAAGGCAATGCCCTTCTGTTAATAACCCAGGTTTCCATTGTCCTTCTGCCTGACCTTGTGGTCACACCATTAACCACTGCCCCTGAGTCAGCAAAAGCCCAAACACAGGGCATTTTACTGCTATTTGATTCTTCCATCACTGCTGGGAAAACAGCATATAATGCAGCCCTCTGAACTAATTTGTTTTTACCTTTCTCTGTCAATGTGGAAGGTTTTCAAGTAATGTGTTGTACTTTCATCCTAGAACTGCCATGTGCCAACCAAACATTTCTTTGTTGTTTAGTTGTCAGTTGATCCAAGTGACGATAGAGTCTGGTAGCTCCTCAGTCAGTTCTACAGTCAGCTGAAGGGGCAGAGAGGTTTTCTGCTTATGAGTGTCTCCTCCTTGCATTTCCCAGGCTGCACAATCCTCTCTAGACCATTTAAATTCTCTGGTGCAAAGCACCAGTAGTTGTTGCTGGGAGGCAATCACAGACTGTCATAAGACCCAGTTTAGGCTCGACTCAGAGGTAGTGCGTGTAAAACCTGTCCTTACCAACACACCAGCTTCTCTCCTTTGCTGTTTGGGCTTGGCTGATCTTACTGCTCCCCAGGTAGCATGTTTAGTATTAATTGCTTGAAGGACAGGTTTATATCCTTCTTTTATTTATTTATTTATTTCAGTATTTCTGTGGAAAAATTATGCAGTACAGAATAAAAACACAGAGCAGTTGCATGGATGGGTCGAGCCCTGCTTGCAATTGCTGTGTCCCATGTAAGAGTGATCAAGTTTTACCTCCAATTTTTTTTTTAAGATTTCTTTATTTTTATTGGAAAGTCAGATGTAGAGAGCAGGAGAGACAAGAGAAGAAAACCTTTCATTGACTGATTCGCTCCCCAAGTGGCCACAATGGCCAGAGCTGAGCTGATCTGAAGCCAGGAGCCTTCTCCTGGTGTCCCACGTGAGTGCAGGACCTTGGTCCCTCTCACCCGCTTTTCCAGGTGACAAGCAGGGAGCTGGATGGGAAGTGGGGCCATCAGGACATGAACCGGCACCTGTATGGGATCCTGGCATGTGTAAGGCAAGGACTTTAACCACTGGGCTATTGCGCCGGGCCGACTATCTAATTTTCATTTACTTCCTGCTGATACACATCCTGGGAGATGGTGAAGATGCCTCATATGGTGGACCTGGATAGCATTCCTGGTTCCTGTCGTGGCCTGGCCCAGTGCTGGCCAGGGGGTCTGAACCAGCAGATAAAAACCAGTCTCAGGCCTGGTGCCATGGCCTAGCAGCTAAAGTTCTCACCTTGACTACTCCGGGATCCCCTGTGGGCGCTGATTCTAATCCTGGTGGCCCCGCTTCCCATCCAGCTCCCTGCTTGTGGCCTGGGAGAGCAGTTGAGGATGCCCAAAGCCTTGGGACCCTACACCTGCGTGGGAGACCCAGAGGAGCTCCTGGCTCCTGGCTTTGGATCGGCTCAACTCTGACCATTGCGGTCACTTGGGGAGTGAATCATCGGATGGAAGATCTTCCCCTCTGTTTCTCCTCCTTTCTCTATATATGTCTGACTTTGCAATAAAAATAAATAAATCTTAAAAAACATTAATCTTTCTCTTACTCTTTCTCTCTTTCTCTTGCTCTGCATTTCAAATTTTAAAAAAGCAACAAAACACATTGTATTAGCCAAAACTTTCAGATAAGTAGAGGAAATGAGTCTGCTAACATGTTGCTTAGTAGTAGTTAATTTTTTTTTTTTTTGGTCTTTCTTAGGCAGACATTTTGGATGTCAACCAGATATTTAAAGATTTGGCCATGATGATCCATGATCAGGGCGATTTGATTGGTATGTATTTCTGTTACTTTTAACCTCAAGGTGAGTTGTTAGCATTTGTTGCAGTAAGACATGTCAGCTATGTAGTTAAACTTTAAGACGATTGTTTAAAGATGGTAAAATTTACTTTATTAGCACTTTTCTTAGATTATCAGTGTAAAAAAACTAAACTGAGGTTTCCATGAATACGCAGTCCCATCCATTGGTAAGTCTCTGTGTAACAGCTGTTAGCTTCCCAACTTGATTTCCAACAACTTGCACCGTTATGGGAATAGTACTTCTTTTTTTTAAAAGCTTTTTATATGGAAATAATTTCAAGTATATAAAACATAAAGATACTGCAAGGAACTCCTTTTAACCTCTACCTAGGTTTACTTTTTGTTAATATTCTACGCATTTGCTTTTTGATGTGCTCTTGTGTATATAAGAAGGAGAGCATGTATAGTTACACATTAATTTTTTTCTGAGCCATTTATAAGTGGGTTGCAGGCATCACAGCTCCTTGTCCCTAGATATTCCAGTGCTTATTTCTAAAGAATAGTGCTATTCTCTTCTCCATGCAGTAAATTCTGTTGTCTTAATTCGGGTGGGAGTAAAACAGGATCCTATAACAACAGAAATCTTCAGATCGCAGTCTTGAAACATCTGAGTGTGCCAAAGCATCCACCATCCTTCTCTTTGCAGACAGTATAGAAGCCAATGTGGAAAGCTCAGAGGTGCACGTCGAAAGAGCAACTGATCAGTTACAGCGAGCTGCTTACTACCAGGTAAAAACAAGTGCCAGAGGAAGTCACTGTGTGCTGTGGACTTCATGGCTGTCATGGTCACTGACACGTGGAGGACAGGGCAGCCTCTGGCTTAGGCTGCAGCTGAAGGCAAGCAGTCAGACTTGGAGGCCCAGTTCCACTTTATTATCTGCCTTCACTGGGAGAGCCATAAAATGTCATGAAATCATGAATAAACATATATAGAAGCCTCTGAGTTGCAAAGCTACTAACCCCATAAGCAGCATGATAGCTCAAGTATAAACGGTGGAAGGCTAATCTTGCATCCTAAATAGCTGAAATGTGCTTCCATTGAGACAGTAAGAAATACAGTTAAAGTAGCATTTAGGAGAGACAGAGAACCAACTTCAAGTGTCAGCTGTGAAGTTCTTCCACTTAGTAGTTGAAGCTCTGGCTTGACTATTCATCTGGATCTTTTATCTCAATGTGCAAATACTGTGAATGAGGTTCTTCTTGTTTCCCTTCATTTTGGTTTTGAGGGCTTTTGAGAAATAAATATCATTTTAGTGATTTTCCACGTTTCTGGAATGCCTGTGTTTTACCTGGGAATGTTCCTTAAAAATTGTGTTTAATAATAGTTTTTCTTTTAAAAACTGCATAATGACTTTGATGTCTATATACGGCTACTTGGTATTGTATGATGTTAGAATTCAGAGATGCTTATGAAGCATTGATAATAACAAAGAAGTTTATACTAAACATTAAATGAGAAAAAAGTCAAACATTATATAGTATGGTCCCTTCTATGTCCAGTAACAATATACATAGAAAAAGATCAGAAGGTGTTATAATCAAAGCATCATTACATCTGTAATTACTTCTCTGCCTGTTTTTTTCCCGATATATATTAAGTTTTATAATAGGTATCAACTTACAACATACAAAAAACAAATATTTTTGTAAATAATGCCTAATATAATAGGCTCTTTTGGAGACTAGAATTAGAGCTTGTCGTGCTGTCTAGTTCTGGTGAGAATGAGGTATGGGGAATGGGCTCTGGCTATGTGTGCATGCATAGAGTTAGTTTTGAATTATCAGGCAGTGGATTTATGAAGCATTCTTGGAGTCTTAGATGTTAAGACTTACTTATTTCATGAGTATCTTCTTCATACGTTTCTTTCCTCAGAAAAAATCTCGCAAGAAGATCTGTATCCTGGTGCTTGTCCTGGCGGTGATTATTACCGTCTTGATCATTGTTTTCGTGGTACTATATGGCAAATGAAGTGTGCTGGCTTCAAAGCCTTCCCCCACTCAGCTGTTTCCAAGGGCAAGTGTTTGTTGGAGTCTTGCCAGAACAAACTGATCACAAGAGGAGCGCCCACGCCAGATCGTCCTGTAATAACTTAGAAGCTAACTACTAACTAGTCCTTGGAATTAGTGACTTCTGGAGACAGTGTTTATCAGCTGCAGTATACATTTTATTGGTTTCACCAATTAGGAATTCATTTATGTGGATTTTGCTTTCTCTTGTATTCTGATTTCCCAGTAGTTTCCTGAAAAGGCCATTCTAAATACTCCTTTTTTTTTTGACAGATGACACTACAGACTTATAATATTGCCTTTTTATGTGTATACAAAATGTACCTTTTTACTAGTAACGAAGCTGAATTGCTTTCTGGCATGCAACATATTGGAGTTTGTCAGAAACTGTATAGTGGGCCAGGGTTTTTTATTATCTAACATTTTAATTTGGATTTCTAGAAAGCCTGTTCTCTATCAGTTTTGCAAGATTTTGGCACTGTATTTAACTGGAAAGTAAAAATTGCACATGAGATGAAGATGAAATGAGAAGGGTCCACTTAAGCTGATCAGTTGCTGGGGTACCTGTTATTAATCTGGGTTTAAAGTTGACTTCATGTTTTGCTAGCATCATCCACAAGTGATTTATCTTCTTAAACACTTCATTCATTTTGCTCTCTTTTTCAAGAAGTTAGTTTAATGAACAGTACTGTAGTCTGTGGGGTCCCTCTCCCACCCGGCCACGTTGAAAGGGAGAATTAGACTTAGCATGCTTTGGGAAAAGCAAACAGAACTTGTTTGGAATGAACCAATCTTTTTGTTGTTACGCACTTGTGGTTCTACATTCCTGGTGAATGAGGAATGTCACTGTCAAAAAGCTGCCCTCTTCCCTATAAGGAGTCCTGGGCTCTTGCAGCTGGAAGATTTTGAAGGCTGTTCTCAAGTTAGTTTAAAACTTAGTCCTGTGAACCTGTGATAAAGTAAAACAAAGGTTCATTTTTTGTAAATAATACTAGTTTGGAATAGTGATGTTAGACTTACCCTAATTTATGAACAAGATTAATCAATCTCTCCTTGCATAGTTTAGACAAAAACTGTTTGAATAAAAGATTGCTGTCTTGTAATATAAGTGTTGTTCACTTCCCTCTTTCATAGGCCTAGAACAGTTAAAGGGAACATAATCTGTCCATATTCTCACATAAATATGAGCAGGGCCCGCAATTTCAGCTCACTGTTGACGCAATTAGAAGATTTGACCTCCCTGGGTGTATTTCTATTCCTTTTAACCATTCCTCTCATCACGTCATCTTCTTGTACTAAGCAAATGTGAACGGTGGGAAACGGGCCCAGTCCTGCACCATTCCACCTACTAAATACAAATAAACTGTTTAAAACCTTTTGTAGTTAAGTTTTTATGAGTCAACACCCTAACAAGGTAAGTAGCAGACAATGTGCTGCCATGAAAAAAAAAACAAAGAAAATTCGGACTTGCAAGGAGCCTGGAGCCTGGAACCCAGAGCTCAGGGGAGGGTTTTTCCGGGTGTGTGATAGGCGTCGTCCCTTGAAATGACAGGACGGAGCTGGTGGGGTGGACCAGAGTCCAGGCAGCAGCTACAAGAAGACTCAGTGACCCAGTTCTCTGGTCACTGCCTGTATGGATCCAAATTGCAGTTGGACTTGGATACATCATTTGTAATTCACAAAAGAAAAAAAAATGTGAAAAACGATTTGAATTCGGGTAAAATAAAGTGCTTAATGTTCTGTTCTGTAATACTGTTGGTCCAGTGGTGATTGTAACATGGCCTTGGGGAGCAAATGGGAGCTGGGTCTAGAATTTATGGTCCTTGCTAAAGATATGCCAGGTGGTGCCAACAGCCTGTTCACAGAAGCCTGTTCTGGACCTTGATGACCTTTGGAAGCACCAAGTATGGTCCAAGAGAGTGGATCCTAACTATGGCTTCAACTTTAGAATTCTTTTTTTTTTTTTTACAATTTATTTATTTTGCTTGAAAGTCAATTACAGAGAGACAGAAAGGACTTTCATCTGCTAGTTTACTCCTCAATTACTCTGCTATTGCCAGAGCTGGGCCAATCCGAAGCTGGGAACCAAGATCTTCTTCAGGGTAACCCACATGGGTATAGTGCCCCAAGGCCTTGGGCCATCCTCTGATGCTACCTAGGCCATTGGTAGGAAGCTGCATCAGAGGTGGAGCCACTGTGACTTTTTAAAAAAGATTTATTTATTTTTATTGCAAAGTCAGATATATAGAGAAGAGAGAGGAAGATCTGCCTGAAGATTCACTCCCTAAGTGACCACAATGGCTGGTGCTGTGCTGATCCAAACCCAGGAGCCAGGAACTTCCTCCAGGTCTCCCACGCAGGTGCAGGGTCACAGTGCTTTGGGCTGTCCTCCACTGCTTTCCCAGGCCACTGGCAGGGAGCTGGATGGGAAGTGGAGCTACCAGGATTAGAACCAGTGACCATATGGGATCCCGGAGTGTTCAAGGTAAGGACTTTAGCTGCTAGGCCACTGCACCAGGCCCACTACTGTTTTTGATCATTAGGTGCAGACCAGACCCAATATGAGTCTTGAGTTCAAACTTAAGTTTCAGATTTAACTGCTTCTCCCCTTTTTTTTCCATTCACATTTTTGTTTGTCTCTAGCCTTCAAAGGATTTTTTTTCTTTCTTTTTTTCTTTAAGATTTATTTATTTTTACTGGGAAGTCAGGTTTATTCCACAAATAGCCACAACAGCTGGAGCTCAGCTCATCTGAAGCCAGGAGCTTTTGGATGTCCCATGTGGGTTCAGGATCCCTATGCTTTGGGCCGTCCTTGACCGCTTTCCCAGGTCATAAGCAGGGAGCTAGATGGGAAGTAGATCAGCCAGGATACGAACCGCCACCCATATGGGCTCCCAGCATAGGACTTTAACCACTATGCTACCGTGCCAGGCACAAGATTGATTTACTTTTATTTGAAAGGGTTTTTTTTGAAAGATATACAGTGAGGAGGAGACAAAGGAAGATCTTCCGTCTGCTGAGCCACTTCCCAAGTGGCTGCAATACCCAGAGCTGAGCCGATCTGAAGCCAGGATCCCAGAACCTCTCCTCCCACGCAGGTGCAGGGTCCCAAAGCTTTGGGCCGTCCTCCACTGCTCTCCCAGGCCACAAGCAGGGAGCTGGATGGGAAGCAGGGCCACCTGAACACAAACCAGTGCCCATATGTGATTCTGGCATGTGCAAGATGAGGACCTTTCCACTAGGCTACTGCCCCAGGGCCTATTTGAAAGATTTTACAGAGAGGAGATAGAGAAGGTTATCAGCTGTGTTGCCAGCCATATCTGTATGTACTGGCTACATGCCGTACCCAAAATGGCGCCGGCCGGAAAAGCCACATCTTGGTGTTTGGTGCAGAGTCACGTAGCATTCACTGTACTGCGCAGGCGCCTAGCGCATGCGCAGTGAGCTGCGGCGCGGCAGGCACGTAAACACTGGGACTGACGAATCCAGTCGCCCAGAACCCTGCGTAATCATGACGCCGACCTATCATCGGCGGAGGCGGGGCCAGACAGCACATAAGAGCAGAAAACCTGCCGGGATCCGAGCCTCTTTCCGCTTCATGTTGCTGTGCACAATAAATTTTACCGCAGAAGGCTTCACTCGCGTCTGCGTCTTATTGCTGGGCGGTAAGACACGTGGGCGCGACACAGCTGATTTTTCCACAAGGATCACAACAGCCAAAGCTGAACTGCTCCAGAGCCAGGAGCTTCCTTCTGGTCTCCCAAGCAGGGAGAGGGATGTAGGAATCCAAAGACTCAAATCCTCTGCTGCTTACCCAGACCATAAACAGGGAGCTGGATCAGAAAAGCAGCAGCCAAGACACAAATCAGTGCCCACTGGGATGGCCAGCGCCACAGGGCAGAGGATTAACTCACTGCACCAGCCCCTGAACACACTTTCTCAACACTTTGGGAACTTTTCATTGTCACCAAGCAAAATGAAGCCTCCTGCTTGTATTTTGTATACACTCACAGTTCATTGTCTCTTCATGATTACTGGTAAGTCATGCCAAAGTTATTTTAAGAAGATTTTCTGACTGATCGCTTAGTTGATATCCAGGTTTTATTCTAAAGAAGCCTACACACGGTGTCTCTCTCCTTTCAAGAGGCACCCACTTCCCCGCTTTGTCTTGGCAGGTGCTTTCCCCTCCTCAGTTCTCTCCCTGCTCACCTGGCCCCTTGGCAATTAAGACGTCTCTGCAAACAAACAAAGATCCAAAGACAGCCCCTTTGCCCCTTGCATTTCAGAAGGTTTGGAAGGTTGAAAGCCTACATTGCTGCCTCTAGTTGGGTGGAGAGGCCAACTGACCCCATTGGTACCCAAACAAAGCAGTCTTTGATTTATACAGACCTAACTATACGGTACCACCACATCAGAGGCTAATGTCTGTATCAGCTATGCTATAAACAGGGCATGCAGCTAAGGAGGAAGGGATCTTACGGTTAAGGACATAGTTTTGATGTGTCTTGGCTGTTGGCCTCAGATTGACCACACACCAAAGCTGAGGAATTCAAAGGCAAAGTTGACATGTTACCAGGTCACTTATCACCTCATGCCTGAAATAGACATGAAGATGGGGACCTCTACAACCTATGGGGAAAAAGTATTTTGTTTTCTTGTTAGACTTAAAACATTTCTGAAACTATTTAATTGCCCCTTTTGGGGGGACGGATTTTAACATCCCAAATGCATGTGTTTTATATCAAATATACTTTTAAGAAGTTTCCATTTTTCACGCCCGACACAATAACGTAGTGGTTAAAGCCCTTGCCTTGAATGCGCCAGGATCCCATATGGGTGCCAGTTCTAATCCCGGTGGCCCTGCTTCCTATCTAGCTCCCTGCTTGTGGCCTGGGAGAGCAGTGGAGGACAGCCCAAAGCATTGGGACCCTACACCTGTGTGGGAGACCTGGAGGAAGTTCCTGACTCCTGGGTTTGGATCAGCACAGCACCAGCCATTGCGCTCAGTGGGGAGTGAATCATTGGATGGAAGATCTTCCTCTCTGTCTCTCCTCCTCTCTATATATCTGACTTTGTAATAAAAATAAATAAGGGCTGGAGGTGTGGCCTCGCACCTAAAGTCCTCGCCTTGAACACGTCGGGATCCTATATGGGCGCCGGTTCTAATCCCAGCAGCTCCACTTCCCATCCAGCTCCCTGCTTATGGCCTGGGAAAGCAGTTGAGGACGGCCCAAAGCCTTGGGGCACTGCACCCGTGTGGGAGACCCAGAAGAGGTTCCAGGTTCCTGGCTTCGGATCAGCACAGCACCGACCATTGCACTCACTTGGGGAATGGATCATTGGACAGAGGATCTTCCTCTCTGTCTCTCCTCCTCTCTGTATATCTGACTTTGTAATAAAAATAAATAAATCTTTAAAAAAAAAGAAAGAAATTTAACTATGGGGCCAGGCATGGTGGCTGGTGGCTAAAATCCTCACCTTGTACATATCAGGATCCCATATGGGCACCGGTTCTAATTCTGGCGACCTCGCTTCCCATGCAACTCCCTGCTTGTGGCCTGGGAAAGTAGTCAAGGACAGCCCAAAGTGTTGGGCCCTGCACCTGTGTGGGAGACCCAGAAGAGGCTCCTGGCTTCGGTTCAGTGCAGCTTCGGCTACTGAGGTCACTTGGGGAGTGAATCATCGGATGGAAGATCTTCCTATGTGTCTTTCCTCCTTTCTGTATATCTGACTTTCCAATAAAAACAAATACATCTTTAAAAATTTTTAAATATGTACTGCAGTTGGAAAGAAAAGATGGTGACCTGCCCAAAGCACTCAGGACCAATGTAGAGGGAGCAGTGTGGAGTACACAGGCAACCAAATCACATGAGCACCTGGGGGGAGGCAGTCATTTGATGATATCTTAAAGACCCTGATGTGGGGAGGAATGTTCCACAGTGTTACTTTAGTGGTTTTGATAGTTCTGAGATGTCTTTAGCTTCCTTACACCAGGGTTGAGAAAATCTACCCAAAGTTTATTGGCTGACCAGATTTACTTCAGTGCATGCACATATTTGGAGTGTGCTGATGTGCTGCAGCCTAGCTGAGTCTGTCCCACATCCCATCGGGTTCTCATGCATACCCATCTGTGCTGCAGCTTAGCTCAGCCAGACCTAGCCCATATGTATGCCAGTGGGTGCTTCTTTGTAATTAAGATTTATTCATATTTATTGGAAAGTCAGATATACAGAGAAGAGGAGAGATAGGAAGATCTTTGTCCAATGATTTACTCCCCACGTTTTCACAACGGCTAAGTCGCATTGATCCAAAGCCAGGAGCCCAGAGCCTCTTCTGCATCTCCCACGTGGGTGCAAGGTCCCAAGTCTTCAGGCTG